CCCCCGATCTCTACCTGCTGGAGCAAAAAAAACCCCCAATCTCTACCTGCTGGAGATAGTCTTACAACGGAAGAGTAAGTAAAACAAACTTTGTGATGCACTAAGCTATTTAGTGTACATTTTGATATAAGCTTTTTAGATGTACTGTATTGTCCAGTAAATGGTTCTGGTTCATGCTGCATATCTTAGTGATTCATACAATTGAAAAGTAGGCATCCATTAATCAATTGGAACCAATCAACTGTATTACCTAATTCTCACCACACGCCTCAAATTTCAGTCTCGTAAAACAAGCCTTTTTACTCAAGAGCTCTTATGTTATGTGTGTAGCTATCATGGTGCATTCTCCAGCTTGCCAAAGCAGGCCACTCATATATTTGATTCATCTTACTTCAGGATTTTTGCTTTTCTTATTAGATTTATTTGTATTCTTTGAGATTATCACTAAACACTTAAAGTTTTGGAGTTTGAACTTTGACATTTCTGTTATTAGAATTATGATCATGTCTTTTTTTCATATAAAATAGTGATAATCTAATTTTCTTGGATAGTTACCAAAATGGGGTTTGCTTTATAAATATTAAAGAAGAATGTTTCTAATATCATAGTCCTTAATTTTACATCTTCAGATGTATATATGTATATATGTACACATGTACACGTATAATACCTCTCCATACATACTGATTAAGTGTACTTCACAGTCTCAATTATCAGTCTGATTAAGTGTACCTCTCCATACATACTGTTAAAAGTAGGACCCGTACCACAGACCACAAAGCTCCATGAGTCCCATAGCTGTTATCATTGACAACCTAATTAGCCATCATTTCTCTGCAATTATTAGTGTGCCACAAACGCTACAGAAACCTTTGAAAACTTTAGCAAGTCCTGACATATTACATGACCAATTCTGTTATTGTTGACCAGTCTTTCCACGGGACTTTTAAATTCTCAACTAAATTCATATTTCCTGCACATATGGGGAAAAATCACTTTGCATATGCTTGCATGAATAGATATGTAGTTTAGATTCATATGCTTATGCTATAATCCAAATTACAGGAGGTGAAGTTTTGTGCGTACTTGAATGCAACGGAAAGATATTATGATGTTCATAGTCCCAAAAAAAGCAATATGGGATTAAATATGGATGTCACTTTATCCTTGCATGATAGATTTGTAGATTACATTCATATGCTTATGCTATTATCCAAATAACAGGAGGTGAAGTTTTTTGCACTCCTGCACGCAAAAAGAAATGTGATGGTGTTCATACTCCTAAAATAAAGCATTATGACATTAAATGTGGATGACATTTTATTATTGACTAACCTAAAGTAGGCAGCATGTTTTACCTGGCAGTTCGTAGATGGTAGTCACTTCTAAACCGTCTTAACTCTGTACAGGCTCATGTAAGAGGTTACCGTGAAAGGAAGAAATACCAATTTCAATGGACAGTTGGTGTCATTGAGAAAGCTGTTCTGCGATGGCGTAGGAAAGGTGTTGGTTTACGAGGATATCGAGCAGAACCAGAATCAGTTGATGAGGGGGATGAAGAAGTAGAGGAGGACATACTCAAGGTTTTCCGGAAGCAAAAGGTAGATGCAGCTGTTGACCAAGCAGTATCAAGGGTACTTTCTATGGTGGAGTCTCCAACGGCAAGGCAACAGTATCGCCGAATGCTCGAAAGATATGCTGAAGCCAAGGTAACAAACTTCAGTGTTTGAAACCAAACTATAGAACTCTTCTGTGAAAAGGCTTCATTAATCCCCACAAACACATACGCACAAAAATAGGAAGGCTTATCCAATAACAAATGTTGCAAAGTACTGTAACTGTTTCCCTTGCTTTACAAGAATGGGGAATATTTTTCCAATTTTCAAACACTCAAAAGTTCTTACGAGCCAATTTAAGCGTAGACTACCAGTTGCTTATTCTTTTATACAACACACTCATTGGAATCAGATATCCAGATATCCTGCTTAAAATCATCATCTATTTGGGTCCACGGAGAGGAAATTCAAGAAATGGATTCAAGCAGCTCAAGCTGAAGAAAAGAAAAATACAAGGCTAACAAAATACTAATGTTTTCAGGATTATATAGCTAATTTCAAGTCTTGAAGAACCATTTAACTGCTTTGCAAAGAAGGGTACAGTTACAGAGCTTTTGCACAGAACATTCCTGGAAGAAAAATAACCTGATGAAACCCCTGCACTACTGTATTAATTTATGAGTTAATTGCGGATGGACCCCATTACTATTGCTAAAGTGAGGATGGACCCCCTGAATGAATTATTTCTTCTTGTTGACTTTTAGAAGAGCAAAAAAAAAGTGCACTCACGGGGTCTATCTAGACCAATGGAACTACTGGGGGACTATCGCAATGTTTTCCTTAATCTATTTATGTGAAACTATATCCATAATTTATTTTACCTCTCCCTCAATTTTATTCATATTTACTCAATATTTTCACGTAGTACCTTTATGTCAGGATAGTGACCTTTTGTAGATTGAAATGTTAATCTAGTCAATTTTTGCTCTGGGGAATCCTTAAGAATTACTACATAATACTTCCTGAGTTTTCTAATATTGATAATTGCTATCATGATGATAGTGAAGGTTCTTTTCCAATCTGTTTTTTTCCACAGTTTTGTGCTTTCATTTGCATATTACTGTTTATCTTTCATAATTTCTATTGTACCACTTACTGGGGAAAAAATTGACTGATACATACATGCATAAGTTAATTGGGATTGAAGAATAGGGTTGGGTAAATAGATAAAATTCGAATATATAGGGGTATGAATTCGCTTGTTTTTTCCTGTGTTGTGTGTTAATGAGGAGGGGCACCTTGTCAAGGAACATGGGACACGTTTTCTGGGTTTCAGACCAAGAATGGGTTGTCAGTGTAAGTTCCCAATTAAAGTTACCCTTTCATTATCATTTGATTTTAGGTTATTGGTTACACCATTACTGATATAGTAGTAAATATTTAAATATTTTTTTGTAAATTTTCAAGTAGATTTGTTTCCTTTTTAAGCTTATGTTTGAAGGACCTACATTCACTTTCACTCATGTTCATATTTGAAGGTTGCATGTTGTAAATACAATATATGGATGCAGCATAGTGCGTAGATGTAGATATGCCAAATCCTTGAAATCCAAGATACTCTATTTGTTGATATTGTGTTATGGAAGTAAAAAGACCGTACACCCCTGGGTGAAACAATATGTTTTTTTATCTATAACATGTATGTGTAGGATTACAATGGTTAAAAAAAGCTCAAGTAATATAAAAGATTGACATGTTATACATAATTAACGAAGAAAGGAGAATTAGTGGCAGGCTAGAGAACACGGATAGGAGTTGAGAAGAATATGTTAATGATCAACTTAGTAGAGGAGGTAGCCCTCAACGGAACTGAGTGGTGATATAGTAGGATTCATGTAAACGGACCCCTAAAATTAGGGATAAAGGATTTGTTGTTGTGTTGCATAAATCAATGTTGCAAGAGCAATCATAACTCATAGGGAAACAGACCAATCATATCGATGCAGTTAAGAAGTTAGAAGTTATAGAAGTCAACATAGGAGAATTTGGGATGAGGCAGTATTTAATATTTGTGGAAGTTTGGGAGTTTTCTGTAATTAGCTTTATTTCATTCCTTAAGTCAAAACAATCAAACTCCGGTTAGCTCAGTGAAATGTGCAGGTTTGTCAGTTTGGTCCTTTTGCCAGCAAGAATCTTTGAAATGATGTTGCTGTAGCTGTAAATTAGTGGAGGAAACAACTTGTGAATGATAAACTTTGATAATTCTGTTTACTGCAGGCTGAGTTGGGTACTTCAGATGAAGCAACATCCAGGCCGAATGACGATTTTCAGATCACAGAGAGCAATGACTTGATGTTTTGACGGTTTCTTGAATTACCAAATCAGCAACATGTGAATAATGCGCACAGCTTCTTGTATAGTCTGTATCCGGTTGCTCTGGTGTGATTTGGTTTCTTCAGGTTGCTCTTGTAAATTTCTTGTGCGTTAATGATGTAAGTATGTTCAGTGGGTCTAATAAGCGGTGAAAATGGGTGATTAATAGTTGTTAGCGGCTATCCAGTTTCGACACAGAAGCAGGCAGGCAGGCGGTTTCACATTTTCTATTCTTACCCAACGTCAGAAAATGGAGAGAAAGGGGACAAAATTGTTGGTCCATGTATGTATCAAGTAATTTTCGTCACGACGTTTGTTGGGTTTACGCACAGTAAAAATCTCCCGAGTATGTCTGTTGTGTAAAAGCATTAGCAATCATAAAAATTTGTAAATTGGTTTGCGAATAGAAATTAATTGAAGAGAAATGAAGGAAAAGCAATGAATCCTTGTTATCTACTCTACGAATCAACGGGAGCGGACAGCAAAGTGAAGACAAAAATCTGACTGACTGACCGACGATTTTTTGGTGTGAAAAGTGTTAAAGTTACCATAATTAGGCATTTACGTTGGCGGAAAGTTTTTATTGAAAAATAAGGGAGTTTTGCATATATACCCCTTCATCTCCAATATTTTCAGATTTACCTCTCAAGTTCTAAATTTTTTAATTAAAAAAATATCCCTCCCTTTCCACCATCTCCTCCATTCTCTTATCGTCCCGATCCGCGACCTCCCATTCTCTCTCCCTCTCCATCTCTCTCCTTTCTCATATGTCCTCACTCTTACTTTCTCATTTTCCTCTTTTTCCAAGTCCACCCTTGTTCTCAACTTCTTCTAACTTTCTATCTTCTCTCTCCTCCCTCTCCTTCTCCCATCTCTCTCCACCCTATCCTCTACTCGCTCCTCCACTTTAAGTAAAATGTTTAGGTTTGAGAGTGGAAGAGGAGGTTAGGACTTTGATGACTAGAGGGCGAAGAGAGAGTGAGCAGAGCAAGAGGAGGATGGAGGGTGAGAGAGTGGGAGATTTTTTTTTTCTTTTTCTAAATATTAGCTTTTAAGATGAATATGTAAATATGAGAGATTTAAAATGTATATATGTAGAAGTCTTGCTAAAAAAGAGCGTTGCTACAGGGACCCAAAATATGGGACCATTGGAGGGGACATGTGAGATGTTCCCCTCATATTGCATAATGAGCTGACATGACCAGCTCATTATGCAATAGGGAGGAGATGCCTCACTTGTCCCCTCCATTGGTCTCATATTTTGGGTCATTAAGACATTTTTCTTTGTTAAAATCTTAACGGTTCTTGGGTAAATTTACTTTGATATCTCTTTTAGGCTTTCCTTGGGATTCTCCTTAAGTTGCAGAGGCATGTTCTCGGGGCATCACAAGCAATAAATATAGCGCCGAGAATCCAGCATCGATTCTCCTTCAAATTTACCCTTGAAATGATGCAGTCTCACCCGAATCGGTGCGCTTTGAAAGAGTTTGCACTTGAATCCGAAGAGGCTAAATAATAGTGGCAATTACAATTCTATGTACGCCATTGTTTTTTATTTTATTCTTAATTTTATTCTAAGCCATTGTTTTCCGTGAAATATCTTATCCCTATATAAATTCAGATTAAAACAAACAACCGCCACACATATAAACTTCAATCATATATCCAAATGCTAGAAAGGAAACAAAATATTCAGACGCCACTTGCAATTTTTTTTATTTACTAATATTCAAGTTATTATATATTAAAGTGCAAGTTAGACAATTTTAAAAAGTTCTGGCTCTTTTGACAGAACATTCCAACTAGATCCTCTATTAATTAACTAGCTTGGACGGTAAAACTAGGGAAAATAAACAATTTGGGCGGGAAATTTGAAATTATAGTGATTTGGAGGGCAAATTTAAAATTATAGACAATGTGGAGGGTATACATCTAAAAATCCCATTATTAAACTGTATACTTGTATCAACCACTCTAAACAATAAGAGCGAATAGAGGCGATCAACAATTACTGTACTAATTATTCTTAGTTCTCTCAGCTCATATATTAAGATTTGATGGACAACAAATGCAAGTAAATTTGCTTGCTCTAACATGCATAGAATAACTAGTATATTGACTTGGTAGAAGAAACTAGACCTGTATCATTAGTTTGGAAGGTTAGAGGTCTGATTTTGTGTGTGTATGATTTGCTTAGGGTTTGTTTGGATTGAGGGGAATGAGGGTGAAGGGAAATTAGGGGAACCATTCCCCTCTATTCACCTTGTTTGGGAACACTTAGGAGGTGAAGTTAATTCACCCTAGTTCCCCTTGGTTCACCCCCTAATAGTATAAAATTTGTTACCCCCCAAATTGGGGTGTAACCAAGGGGAAGAGAACTCCTTTCCCTTCCCTTCCCTTCCCTTCCCTTCTCTCAGTTTCCCTTAACTTCCCTTCACCCCTTACAAATCCAAACTGGCCCTTAGTCTTTATGAGTTTCTTTTTTAGTCATGTGTATGTGCTTCTACATGGAATTGAACGGAATTTTTTAAACTGATGCTTCTATTTTTTACTTTTATATATACTCTATTTTCTGTGAATATGAGCATACAAATGGGTTATATCAATGACTTATAGATATAAATTATTGAAAATTAGATAATCCAACCTAGAGCTTTTTCTTCAAATAGTTTAATAACGGAGTGGATGACCTTCATCTCAAAATTTAAAATTTTAAACAAGATAATTTAACCATCAACATCTCCTTTACAATAATCCTCTTTATTTATATTATTATAAGATAAAAAGAGAAAACGAAAAAGTTAGCTCGCCAAATAAGTGCGTGGATAGTTGCTATTTCAAAATTTTAAATTCAAAATTAGATGGTTTAATAATCAAACTCTCCTTTGTAATATCAATCCTTTTTTATAATATTTAAAATAAAAAAGAACATAAAAAATTCAGCGCTCCTTATGTGATCACAATATCAAAAATATCTCTTCGATGTAGGAACTGCGAAGATTTTGTCAATCAACAAAGTCATCTTACATTGACGTTTATTCAAACTTTTGAGATTTGTTATGAACTAAAAAAGAGTATATTGAATTAAATCCCGTAATATGATGCAATCAAATAAAACGTTGCAGTTAGATGAGATATAAGGTCATCACATATTGACTTAATGTAAAATAATCTCACGCTTAACCTCAATCTTGTGATATTTATATTAGAATTTTAACTTCATTCAAAAAAGTATATGTGGTTTTAAAGTACATAAAATAATCTTAATAATTCAAATATTTATTTCTAGAATAATCCTAAGATCCCGTTAAAATTTCCATCTAACTATTAGAAAATTTAGATAATGTAGGGGAAATTCAAGATAATATTTCGGATAATTGGTGTAAACATATTGTTTATTTTTTGTGCATCGCAGAAATTTTTTTTTGACAAAGTGTTTAATTTTAGAGATCTTTACACGTTATTTGTTTTTACGGTGTCTTGTGTTCTATTAGTATTTTAAAGAGAGGCTGGGTGAACTAATAACCCCTCTGTATAAAATTCAGTAAAGGCAGAATATCAAATTAATAAATAATAAAAGTTTGACCAATTCATCAGTAATATTTTAAGAGGAAGAAGACTAATGCATCAACTTTAAACATGATTGTATAATTTTGCATATATGATTTTAGGGTTAATTTTAGAAAACTTCCCTTAATTATGGTGGGTGTCTAAGAAACTCCCCTTAATTATTTTAATTTGAGAAAACCCCCTCAAGTTTGGGCATATAAAAGATAATTCACTCAACTTTTAAAATTAAATATAACCCCCTTCAATTATGGGGCGTCTCATAAAGTCTCTCCAATCTTTCACACTTTTCTCACCCCCTAACATCTTTTCAAATGTAAGATAACTGAAACGCCCTTTGAAAAAATCAGCCAATTCAGTTACAAAGGAACTCTTAACTGATTAAAAAAATCTTGATCAATTTATAATTTTTTCCTCTCTTTCTCCTCTTTTGCTCTTATTCTAACAAAAAATATTATTTTTTATGATTTATGGTATTTTGGTCTTTTATTAATCACCTACTTGTCATGTGACATGCTAGACGTAATGTGTTATTTTTAGGGTGTAAAATGAGAAGAATTCATGGGGTTTCTTCAATTTTCAAACTTGAGGATGATTATCTACAATAAGCTTAAATTTGAGGGGGTTACTCAAATTAAAAGAATTGAGGGAGAAATTCTGAGAAACGCCCTATATTTGAGGAGGGTTAAGTGAGAAAAGTCTAGTGTGGTTGCCTTAAATTCTCATAGTTGAGAGGGATTATCTATAATATACTCAAACTTGAGGAGTTTCTCAAATAAAAACATTTGAGGGAGATTGTTTGAGACACCTTCAAAGTTGATGGGGTTTTCTAAACTTGACCCTTGATTTTATGTAGAGTGACTCTCTACATGAGCTTTTTCTTAAATTTCTAAATTTAAATATATGATTGTCAATTTTTTTTACTATGGACAATTATAATTTGATAAGTACTATAGAATATTTAGTTATTTAAAGTTTCTAATAATGAATTGTTCTAATTAATTTAATTTGAATTTTTATATGAATATAAGGTTAGGCGTCAACATATTATCTTTTGATAAGAGATAGAGAGACTTTTGTGCTTTTATAATATGATATATATCAATTTATTGTGTCTTTAAGACTTGCAACAAATTTGTCTTTATATATAGAGCATGTTTGGGAACTGGCCAATGTGGCTTATAAGCTACTGAAATATATTTGGCAACCGACTTATATTGGCTTATAAGTACAAAATTTAGCACGACAAAAAAGGTAATGGGGGATATCTCTCCGTTAAAATGAAAGTGGGCCTCACGTTCACTCTCTAATCGCACTCCTTTCCATCACACTCTCTCTCACTTAGATTGAATGCCTCCACTTATTGGTCTGAAAATGGTAGATAAAAATCTTGAATTCTTCTAGTTAGAGCCCTGCAAGCGAAAGTCTTGTGTAGAATTGGCAGAATAGCAGTTTTTAGGTTCAGGATCAGCTTTTGGTAGTTTGGCGGTCGACCGTGGGCTTTGACGGTCGACCGCGTTCGTGCACAGCCCTTACTGTGTGTCTGCACCTGTGGCGGTCGACCGTGACAGTCGACCGCAGAAGTTTCTGTTTTTGTGGCGGTCGACTGCCACGGTCGACCGTGGTTTTCTCTGGATTATGGTGTTGTTCTGGGATTGAGGGCGGACCACCACGGTCGACCGCCGAAGCGGTTGAGCTGAATTCTGGGTTTCAGACCCGTTTCGTTTGAGAGTTGTATAAATACCCTTAACTCGTTTTTAGGGTTTGTGGGAGAATATTTTGAGTAGCTGAAAGAGGAGATTTGGGGCTTCTATTGTTGGAGACATTTGGAGAGATTAAGAGGACTTATTTGTGGGTTTTGGTACGTAAGATTTGT